TGCTTCTATGAATTTTCATAAATTGTAAGCACTATCAAAATGAACAAATTTGTTAGAAAAGGATGAGCCAAAGGTATTAAGCAAATATTCTAACAAAAGCTTGTTCATATTAAACATTCTTTTATCATTGTTACTCCACTTGGATTTTTCCAAAGTGGGTATAATATAAGCATCTTTAATAACTTCCCATAAATCGAATTGTTTAGATCTAACAAATATGTTAAATCTAGAACACCATTGGTCATAGGGGAGATTATATATTTTAGGAGCAACAATAGGATCATAGCCTAAACAAGATGCACAATGTATGTCCATAATAAAAAAATATATATGCAAGCAAGATACAAATAAAATCAAAACAAGATTAGCATAAAAAGATAACTTGAATCTTTAACTCAAGGCGATTAGATCTTAAATCAAAGAGCACCAAGCTCTGATACTAATTGTTAGACCCTAGAGGGGGGGGTTAGGGTCTTATGCTAATCTAATCCGATTTAATGCTAATTAAAATTAATTCAAATATTATTCTTGCAAGATAGATATACAGTATGTTGTAAGCAAGAATAAGCAATATGAACAATGAGATATATCCTATATGATAAAAATATATGCAAGGATATATAAACTAACACAAGGGTGAAATAAACATAAACAAGATAAGAGTGATAGTGTAAATAAACAATGCAAACACATAATATGATCACGGAGTTCGGACCTTCCGTCCTACGTCTCCGCTCCTCACTCCCGGGGAAAAATCCACTATCACAACCGGGTTTTCTACGCTTACCCGAATAACGTTTACACCTCACACTATGGTTTTCTAGTTTACCGAAAACTCTACAATCAACACTCTTGCAATCCCACTCTACACCCTCTCAAGTGTTGGAACTAGACGTGTCTCCCTCAAGTGCTCGGATACAACCTCTCCCTATGTTCGTCAACCGACGCCACTCCTCTTGGGACGATCCCCGACTCTCGCCACACACTTCTCTTGGTGTACAAGTGTATTACAAAGTGATTCTCACGATAAGCACAATTACAATAAATAATTATTATCTAATATGGATGAGAACATAATGAAAGCTCACACTTAATTATTACAACTCTCACCAACCCAAATATACAATATATACAAATACAATAAGCTCAAGTGGGTGTGTGTAAACAATGAGTGAAATCAAATCAACTAAACTCAATTAAAAATACTAGCTTAATAAAAATGATAAACAACAAAGAATTAATACAAAGCTAGTATTGAGTTTTGAAATTCTTCTCTGAAAAATAATATGGAGAGATGGATTAAAACGAAGCCCAAGAAATGTAGATGATCTCCTTCACTTGTGTAAAACTTCTTCACAAACAAAACTATTTTAAACAAACACTAAACAAACTTAAACCCTTGTTAAACTCTTGTCTAAAAACTTCTTTTCTATACATGAGAACTGAGATCAATAGGGAATTTATAGCCTCCCAAAACCTCAGCCAAAAGCCCAACAGAAATGACCAAAAAACCAACAGAATCGAAATTCAAATTATGTACATAATGACCATTGGAGTAAACTGCGGTCGACCGTGAAAATCTCGCTGTCGACCGCGAGCCACTTTCAAGGCTCAGCAAATTTTAGAAACTTTGACGGTCGACCGTAGCGGTCGACCGTGGGAATTTTCGAGCTGACGGTCGACCGTGACGGTCGACCGCGAAAGTTGCTATTGGCTCCGCAGATTAAAAACAAAGGCACGGTCGACCGTGACGGTCGACCGTAAACTTACATATGACAAAACATGTATGAAAGTTAATTTTCTGATTTTAAAACCCTGTTTAAAAATATCAAATAAATTCCAAAAAATGTAAAACTTTAGGGAATAATTATAGACATGATAATAAATCAAATAAATTCCAAAAAATGTAAAACTTTAGGGAATAATTATAGACATGATAATAAACATGCTACAAAGACTGGTTTTCAAAAAGGACTATCCAAATGAAAAATATCATTATTTTGCAAAATAGTCCAAAACATGAAAATGCGAATATATGAGTTTTGGCATTTTAGCTTAACCATGTTTTAAAATAATACAAAATGGTTTTATAGACTTAAAGAAAGATATAAACTATTGTTATAAAGTTTATAAATAATGAATATAGTATTTTTACAAATACACATATAATGATGCACTAAAACATGATTTCATTGAACTAAATAAAATTGATATTGATGAAATCAAATATATGCATGTAAGTATGAAACAAAAATATGTTTTCTATTTATATTTAATTGTTTCATAGTAAAACTTGAAAACTATCAAACCTAAACATATATGTATATATATAACTATATATATACATGGAAACCAATAAATGTGTGTGTGTATATTATATTGAGCTTAAGGTACTAACACACATAATATAAACTTCTAAATTAAATTACCCAAGCTTGATCTTGATCTTCAATAGCTTGACTTGGTAATCTAGCGGATGAAGCTTGAACTTGAATCTTCAACTTGAATTGTACATAGCTTCACCTACTATTCCGCCAACCTCTATTGGATATGATCGTGAATGCACAATTCCATCCATTCTCTAACTTGTTATTTGTCTACAATAAATAAGAAAGTACAAACACTAGACAAACAACATTAGTAATAAATTGTTTGTTAAACATCATCAAAACAAGAAGGCCAACAAGCAGGATCAGGGACCGATGGCTCAGAATTCGACTGCGGTTCGGAGACCCAGGAGAGACAAACGTTTGCCAGTAAAGTATACAGATACAGTGATTGCGTATGTACTTTCGGTGGAGAATGTCGATGAGATGGTTCCTACTACATTCAGAGAGGCTGAGCAGAGTTCAGAGGCAGATTTTTGGCAGAAGGCTATGCGAGAGGAGACATAGTCTCTTCAGAAGAACGACACATGGGAGCTTGTCGAGCTTCCAAAGGGGCGGAAGACAATTGGTTGTAAATAGGTGTATACCAAGAAGGAGGGCATTCAGAACACTCCAGTGAAGTTCAAAGCTAAATTAGTAGCGAATGGTTATGCATAGGAAGAAGGCATTGACTACAATGAAGTCTTTTCTTCGGTGGTAAAGAACTCTTCAATTCGGATCTTGCTAGCTTTTGTGGCACAGTATGGATTGGAATTGGATCAGTTGGATGTAAAAACAGTTTTTCTTCATGATGATCTTGATGAAGAAATTTATATAACTCAGTCATTGGGGTTTCGAGCTGCAGGAAAGGAGAAATTGGTGTGTAGAAGTTTGTTACAGATTCATGCTTTGTTGAGGCATGTTGAGGCCATTTGGAGGAACTACGGACGACTTGATCCCATGGGAGAGGGGATACATAGACAACCACATTTGTGCAGTCGGATTTGAAGAAACGACACATTGGTGCTCTTGTTAGTGTCGACTCAGTTTTGGGAATACTTCACCGAGGTAGAGAATTGTTGGATAATAGGTTATTGAGCCAAACAAGATTCCTAGTCTCTTTTGGTTTGATTTTAGAATTATTAGATTCCTAGTCTATTTTGGTTTTAAGGTTATTGGGATTCCTAGTCTGTTTTGGTTTTGATTTTAGAATTGTTGGATTCCTAGTTTGTTTTGGTTTTAGGGTTTCTATATATATATATAACATTTTAGAAGAGATTAGAATCAGAGAATAAGAGAGAAAATAGAGTCTTTTGAGTACTTTGAGAGGGAGATTATTGTGAGGGAGTGAGAGATTGTTGGTTAGGGTTATTTTGAGTGTTTGAGAGAGTTGTAACCTATTGTATTTCTCCTCCATATAGTAAAATCTCTCCATCCTCTCCCCGTGGACGTAGGTAACTTGCTGAACCACGTAAATCTCTGTATTTGTGATTGGTTTGTGCCGTTCTTTTGTGAATTGCATTCGTTGGTTGTTCTCCTCCTGTTGGTCGCCGGCTCGTGTGGGGTTTGGTTCACGAGCACGCTTCCGACGCGCAACAGATTTTACTTAGAGAACACTTGTAGGCTAGGTGATCACACCTCATCCTTGGCTTGAGATGTCAAACAGGTGGGGGTCGCAAGAGAATCCTCAAGGACCTGCACCAGGTGAACCTCTTCTCCAGTGAATGTCATATCCAGTTGTTACCATGCAAATACCTTGTAATCTAACACAGACATTATTAGAGAATGCTAGAGTCACTAGACTATAGGCTAGAGGGAAAGGACCCTCCAAAGAGTTACATCCCGTCGATTTATCCTCCCAGTAGTAAACTACGTCTAATCTTATCCACTGTCTTGATAAACCGCCTAGGAAGCCTAAAGAAAGACATGAAGTACAAGGGGATGGAAAGGAGCCAACGGAATTTATAAGAGAGGATTCTGCAAAAAATTGTATTATTGAAATATTTTGCAAGTAATTTATATAATTTCGATTAGTATGCTCTTCGAGATCTCGAGCAGAATTTATTATCTTAGACCTCAAACATGTAACCCAATATACTAACTTACAGAAAAATGAAATATAAACCCAGGACATCTTCATTTTTGCATAAGATAAAATGATAAATGTTGGATGACAGTATCGCAGACTATGACTAAGAGTAGTCAGGGGCTGATTCGCCTACAGGGAAGTGTTAGGTGACCCCACTTCCCTTGGGGACCTCTTTGTTGGGCGCCTTGACTGTCAAACAGGCCCATACAAGTTATTGTTGGGCGCCTTGATTTTCAAGCAGGCCCAGGCCAATCAAATGAAATTTCTTATCCTTCTGCAGCTCCATCTAGAGATACTTTGTAATTGGGCTAAAGCAGAGATTAGCCCATTTAAAAGGAAACTTTTAGCCCAGCCGTCCGCAGCCCACTATCATGCTACTCGGAAGCTTAGCTGTCGCCTAGCTGTCCCGCGTTAATAAAGCCCGTTTAAAACAGCATCAACCATCATTAAACCAAATTAAAGCCAGCAGTATTTATGTCGGAACTCCATCATTACGACTACATTACATTCATAATCAATTGATTAATTAATTCCGGTAATTTCGAGTTTACGGCTCCGCGACTAATTCTCCTTTCTTTACCAAAAAAATTTTGGGATTTTTAGGGTTTGGGAATTTCGTTTGTAGGGTTTGAGGCGGAATGAGGTCGAGCTTGTGCCAGAGTTGTCTCGCTTCGCTTTTAAAGCTCCTCAGTTTTATCCAGACCTTCGTTGGGGTCTCGATCGTTCTCTACTCGGTTTGGATTTTGATTCATTTGAGAGGGGGAAAGGGTGGGGGTGGGGATGGGGATGGATTTGGGTTCGATATCGATAAGCTCCCTGCTCCATGGTAATTTTTTCAATAGATTTTTTTTATTGTAATTATATTATAATTGATCGAATTTGGTAGCTTAATTATTTCATGTCAATTGGAAGCTAGTTTGCTATATGCAGTAGATTTAGGAGAATGAGCCCAAATATCTTGTGAACCCGAATTGACTAAATGGACCCTAACATACCATCACATTGCTTTCATAGTTCCGGCGCCCGCGGCTTTGCAGTGGTCTAGTCTTGGTCGAACACTGCAATTCGGGCACCACTCGTTTTTGACTTTGCACTAGGCTAGTCGCGGACGAGTGATGCAATGCCAGGTTCACATCCTGCGTTGGGCGCTTGCGAGCAGGATGATGGGATTGGCTGAGAAAAGCCACAATTGACTTCCCATGTAGTCAATGTGGGCCTAATGCACCCTAATGATTTCAGTTTAATATGCAATTCAACCGTTGCTGTTTTGCTTAAAATTGCAGAGATTTTCATTGGCTTGTTGCATTGTTTATATTGTATGTTTCAATTGATGGGGCAGGTTTGTAAGTGCTCTGATGGGGATTGGGATTCTCATGTGTTTGATTGCTTTCACTGGACACGTTGCTGCTGAAGCCATCAGCAGATGCTGCCTTTGTTTTGTATCCTTGAGTATAATCACCTTCGCGTTGAGCTATCTATTTATGCATCTCTTGTTTATTTCTTTTATACATCAATACGTCTGCCTGAATGTTTGGAAATTTGGAGTTTGAACTGTGTTTTTCGTTATGCTATTCTGTTGATGTTTGGAAATTGGTGCAGTTTTTCTTTTCTAGAGTAAGAAGGTGGCGTACGGCCACCCACACGCCCATAACTTTATAGGAAAGGACATTGTAGTATAATAAATAATCAAGTTTTGGGAAATTAGTTAACAGAATATTCCTGATACAACAACAACAACAACTTCAGAAGCGCAACTCCATTATAACCATCCTAATTTGATTCAATGAACTACATCACTCTCTCAGTCTCATCATCCTGACTAATGTTGGATTATAAAATTACAAAAGTGGTTACTTCTGTGTATTTTTTGACCACCAATATGCACTCATGCCCATGTGTTTTCATAGTTTCACAAAAGCTCATTCTGTATATTTTGTTTTTTCTCCTAATATTCAATCTTTTATGTTTGAGAGCTTCTCGTGATAACAATGAAAAAATATCAATCCAAGGCTCCTCTCCAAATGTCTTGCAGTTCAATTTTAGATTCAATAAAACCATCATGTTTTTAGTCCCCACAATAGACTTTTCATCTTCCTCCTTTGGCAAGCTCGATCGCGAGTCCATAGCAGTATAGATCAAACTCTCTCTAGTTGAACCTCATCATCAAAAATTGAGACGTAACCCAATCATATTCAAGGATTAACGTCATATGATCATTTATAGGGAAGTTCAAGTGCAAATATAGATCCATATTCTACCCTTAATGATTTCGACATTGATTGTCATATACTTCGTGGTTTCTTGATGTTTGATGCTTATTCTTCTTCGTTGGATCAGAAAAAGGAGTAGATAGCCATAGTTTAATTGGATGAGTCCATTATGGTTGAATTTGAGAAGGAACAAGAGTTATGGTTTAGAATTCAGATTGAAGAAAAGAGTCTGGAATTCCTGTAACCTGGCAAATTTAACCGATCAATGTCATAGCCAAACATAATGCCAAGGATCCTACTAAAAAAATATGGAATTGGACTATTGGGGCATGAATACTCGAAATTACATATGTCCATATCTGACCTGATGATTCTGTATGAGGAACTTCCTCTTGATGCCAATATTGAATTGCCCACATTAGATGTGTTCTAGAAAGGTGTCTAAAACATCTAATGGTTCCAAGCCAAGAGTGAACCGATAGAGAAGTTTCTAATGAATAATAGTAGTTATGAGCCTGAAAATTAGTAATTCTCGTATAGTAGAACTAAACATGACTGGCATTCTTTTAGGATGAAGTGTTTGTTTGACAAGTATGTGGGTCACTAATGAGTAGATATGTCATAGAGCACATAATTCAACCATAGAAAATATAACCATAACTAGCTTTTGAATGATAGCTTTGAACTAAATGTTGTGCGCAACGGAAATTTCGACAGCACCTCTGATGCTCAACAAGAGAGTAGATCTTAACTAAATCCAAGGTTTTAAATGTCGGATGTCGGGTTCATATCGGATGGCTGAAATCCATATCGGATAGCGGAAATCGGGGATATATCGGGGGACATTGACTAAATATCGTATTGTCATATCGGGTAGTGCACATATGTATAATATCATGTCCTAAATATAATCTAAACATTCATAAATTTAATATAAGCATACTTTATAAATTTTATAGACAAAACATATAAAAAAATAAATAATATATGGATTTGGATTCATAAATTCTTTCTATCGGGTTCATAAGAAACTCTTAAACATGAGAACGGGTCAAACGGGTTTGGGTATTTATCACTAAATCCAAACCCGATAACAAAAAACAGATCTTAAAAAAAAGTATCATATCGGTTGATTTTTTAAAGCTAAAAAATAGACTGATATGCCCGAAATAACCCTGATATTTTCGATTTGACCCTAAAAACCGACATACGAGTTGAAAACGCCAATGTCGTGTCGGTCAAATCCTCAAACCGATATGTCAGCCGACATGTCGGACATGTATCCTCAAACCGATATGTCAGCCGACATGTCGGACATGTCGGGCGATAGTTAAAACCTTGACTAAATCCCTGTTTCACAAGGAAAACAAGAACCGAAAGTAAAATATCTTAATAAAGTGGGATATCAGCTCTTTCTCTCATCAGTTCTAGGACTGACCTATCGAAGGAACCTAAACTCTCTATTACAAGTCACAGTACGAGCAATTAATTTTAACGTGGTTCGGCAAATTGCCTACGTCCACAGGGCAAGGAGGGGGATCTACTATTAGAGAAAAAAATACAAATGAGTTTACAATCACACGACTCTCACAAATTAAACCCTCAAATAGGCTCCTTGCTTTTCTTCTAAAAAATGTCAGCCTCCAAAACTTCTCTCTGCTAATTTTCCCCTTTACAGCTGTCAAAGCCTGCTTCTCCCCTTTTACGCAACTGCCAAAACTTTCAGCCGTTTTTTCCTGCAATTTTGCTCTCTGCCTACGCCCTCCTTTTTCACTCCGAAACCCTAGAACACTAGGGTATTTATAGCACTGCGATTGGGTGGGCCAGAACTCGAACAGAAACATGCAGAAGAGGCTAAGCACACCCTCTCATGCGGATGTGGCCCCCATGCAACGAAAATCCGCTCACGAGTTTGCCTACGTCGCAGCTCTTCATACGGTTTAGCTCTCCGTTGTGACCCCCACTTGCCTTTCTTTGCTCTTCACGCAGTTTTTCCTCTCCGCATTCACACTAGTGGCCCCCACGCCCACGTGTTTCATAATTCTCCACCTCGGTAAAGTTTTTTTAAAACTGAGCCAACACCAATTAAAACAAATGTCTCACTTGTTACGTTCAGTACGAAGTGGAACAAAACCATAACAACGGACTCAATCCATAACAAGTCGAGACCCAAACGAGAATGCGAACAAACTCCAAACGTTGGTATCTACTCACCAAATCGGCTGCATTATAAATAATTGTCTACGTATCCTCTTACTCAAGGAATCAAGCCTCACGTAGTTCATCCAAATTACCACTTGTGGTGAAGCACGTGGGCGTGGGGGCCACTAGTGTGAACGCAGAGAGGAAAAACCATGTGAAGAGCAAAGAAAGGCAAGTGAGGGCCACAACAGAGAGCTAAACCGTATGAAGAGCTGAAACGTAGGCAAACTCGTGAGCGGATTTTCGTTACGTGGGAGCCACATCCGCGTGAGAGGGTGTGCTTAGCCTCTTCCGTGTGTTTCTGTTCGAGTTCTGGCCCACCCAATCGCAGTGCTATAAATACCTTAGTGTTCTAGGGTTTCAGAGTGAAAAAGGAGGGCGCAGGCAAAGAGCAAAATTACAGAAGAAAAAAAACGGCTGAAAGTTTTGGCAACTGTGCAAAAGGGGAGAAGCAGGTTTTGACGGCTGTAAAGGGGAAAATTGGCAGTGAGAAAAGTTTTGGAGGCTAACCTTTTTGAGAAGAAAAACTAAGAGCCTATTTGAGGGTTTAATTTGTGAGAGTTGTGTGATTGTAAACCCATTTGTATTTTTTTCTCTAATAGTAGATCCACCCTCATTGCCCCGTGGACGTAGGCAATTTGCCAAACCACGTTAAAATTGATTGTTCGTGCTGTGACTTGTAATAGAGAGTTTAGGTTTCCTCGATAGGTCAGTCCTAGAACTGATGAGAGGAAGAGTTGATTTCTCTCTTTGTTGAGATATTTTGCTTTCAGTTCTTGTTTCCTTTGTGAAATAGGGATTTAGTTGAGATCTACTCTCTTGTTGAGCACCAGAGGTGTTGCCGAAATTTCCACCCTCTCACGCGGATGTGGCCCCCACGCAACGAAAATCCGCTCACGAGTTTGCCTACGTCCCAGCTCTTCATGCGGTTTAGCTCTCTGTTGTGGCCCCCACTTGCCTTTCTTTGCTCTTCACGCGGTTTTTCCTCTCCGCGTTCACACTAGTGGCCCCCACGCCCACGTGCTTCACACTAAATTCATAGCTCTCCATGCGTCAGTAAAGAGAGCCTAACATCAATTTGTATTCCAAACAGGTCCGTTGCTACTATCATCTCCAGGAATGATATCTCCATTTTCTTCATTTTCACCTTTTTTGCTCTTCATAAACTCCTCTTGAGAGCAATGGTGGTCAATTTTCTAGGATATTGCATTGATCTGTGAGACACCGATATGCTTGATAAGTTTCAACTGTTAGTAGGTGTAGACTATCTACATAATTTTAGTAGGTGTAGACTATCTACATAATTCTCCAGTTAGTTGTCTTGAATTGTTTCCTCTTGGCACTTTATTGTAATTATTTTATTGGATTGATGTAGTTAAAGACAAAACTTTCAACCTCCCTACCACTTAAATATTCTTCTCATGTATGGATCAAGGGATGCATTCCAAATTCAAGTAGTGTTTAGTCTTTATCTTTTTCTTTGAGCTCTTGGCTTAAGTTTATGGTTTCTTAACTTTGATCAATAACAGTTTGCAGTATTCACCATGATTCTCTTCCTACTAGAAGCTGTATTGCTAGGGGACATAGTGTTCAACAAGCATTGGGAGGAGGTTAGTTTGTAACGCTACAATTTAGGAAGCTAATTAAGATTGCTTAATTTTGTATATGTATGATATTTCCCAGACATTGTTAAATGACATATTGTGGTTTTTCAGGATCTTCCATATGATTCAACCGGACAATTAAAACATCTTCAGGCATTTATAAATGATAATTTAGATATGTGTGAGTGGGTTGCAGGTACTGTAGTTGTAACTCAGGTATGCTACTTTGCTCTTGGTTTAAAGAAAATTATCCCTTATTGTATAGTAGAGCTACACTAATACCAGTCTTTTCTAAGAGTATGTTTTTTCCCCAACTACTTTGCATTATCACAGTGCATGCATGTGCCAAACCTGCAAATTTGTTTCTCAGTATGTTTCTACGGAGTGCCTAAATTTAGAGGTCTGCTGCATGACGTGACTGCCAAGTATAGAGTGTCTGAAATGTATAACGTGAGAAACTTTCATAAATCTGAAGCATGATACATATATTCATTATAGATGTGAACTAAACATGTATTTAATGAACATTCCCCTTATCTAACATTTGACGGCTTTATGTAGTTAGTTATTTCATGACTGCAGGTGTCACTAGAGTGCTGTAGTTCCGTCAGCAGTGTGAAGTTATAAATTTGTGCTGTAGTTCCATCAGCAATGTGAAGTTATAAATTTGTGCTGTAGTTCCGTCGGCAATGTGAAGTTATCAATTTTTGACTAACACATATACACTGCACATTAAACTGCAAAAAGAAAGAAAAGAACAAAAAACAAAACACGGACTCCTTGGACTATTCGCTGAAGAGTAGTTTATTTTTACATTCCAGGATGTTTTTGTTCATAATGTATACCGCAGATTTCCAAGTTTCCTTAATGAAGTTACTTGTATAAAGGCATGGAGGACTGTAGGTTCAAATTCAAAAAACTACATATGATCCTTGATTTTATTTTTTTTCCAGGTGCTTTCACTTTTATTGGCATTGATTTTGCGAGCCATGGTCCAAAGAAGAAGGTTAGACTACGACAGTGATGAAGATTTTGTTGTTATTAGGAGGCCACTCCTAAATACTCAGAGTGGACCAACTTTTACATCAACAGCCGTTGATGGCAATGGGTATCATTCAGACCTTTGGAGTTCACAGATAAAGCAGAAGGTACCTTACTTCTATGGTTTTCTTCATTTCTCCTAGTTATAGACTATTATTCTTAGCAAATACTAGTTAAATTAGGCATGCATAATGCATGTGAAAACAACTGAAATTGTGAGGCGACCTATTTTTATGAACGTTTTTCCGTAATATTCTTCAGTGAAAATTATTTTTTCACTAAAATTATATTAATAGGTTGTTCTATAGAAAGCTTTTTGCTACTTGAGTTTAAAGGGTATGATGTGGTTCTACTATTTTAGTCTATTAGTTAAATTATTCCTTGGTCCATGTTGAGATTCATGACTAAATCTTCTGATGTGAATACATATTGATTATTGAATTCACGCATACATTACTCTTAACCACCTGACTTGGTGAAGTGGAACTTAGAGGTCAAATATGAAGAGGTATTGTAGGGTTGTGCATCTTCAGTTGGTTTTACCTATAAAAACTTTTCCCAAAAAGAAATCATGACCAAAAAGTTAGTTTAACGGTAGTTATACTATATTCCTTAGTCATTTAATTTTAGAGTAAAATGACATACACCTTGACCTTAGGTGTATCCTAAGCCGGTATTCAGTTCAGAGAACGTGGGCTTCAATTTAGGGGCCATTGCAAACATGCAGTTCACTGATCTAAAGATGGAGCACAGGCCACATCATGCACTTGACATTTACTTAGATCCTCAGAACCAAGGATGTCATGTTGTCCTTTCACAATTTGTTGAACAATTCATGTCCCTTTGAAAATCACAAAAATTTTCAAATAGACATAATTTCTATTGCATTGATATGAATGAAAATGGACAAAAATCTTAAGTTAGAGTTCATGAAAATTGAGACTTTCGAATTACCACTACTTTTAACTGCTATTGAGTTGACAAGAGCAAGAATGAACAAAAAACACTAGTTATAGCCCAAGAAATAGCTAATTTTGAAGTACACGTACTTATTTCTAATTGGATCGAAATGAATGAAAACAAATTAAAATTGCAGGTTATAACTCAAGAAAATCACGAAATATTGAAGTACACATACATAAATGTCGTTGGGTAGAAAGGAAAAAATAGAAAAAAATGGTTGGGTTACAATACATGAAATTGGAAATTTTAAAGTACGCATAGGTAGTGACAAATTGATCGAAACAAAAAAAATGGACAATAATTGCAGGTTATAGCCCATAAAATCGTGAACAATGTACTATGAATTCTTAGTTTATGTTGGGCTGATAACGAAAATGAGTAAAAATTATAGTTATAGCCTATGAAATTGTGAATTTTAAACTATGCGTTCTTAATTGTCATGAGTTCAAATAAACGAAAATTAACAAAATCATGCATTATCGCCCATGAAAAATGGTGGAATGTTGAAGTACGCATACTTAGTTGCCATTGGTAGAAATGACAAAAAATATACAAAACTTATGGGTTATATACTGAAAATTGCAAATTTTGAAGTATAGTGTGTAACTGGCATTGGGTTGAAACAAATGAAAATAGGCAAAAATCATTGGGCTAGAGCAAATTAAATCGTGAATTTAGAAGAAAGCACACTTAACTGTCACTAAATCAAAAGGAATGAAACTAGGCTAAACTCGTGGATACTAGTCCATGAAAATCGTCAATTTTGGAATATGCATTATTAATTGTCACTTCGTACAATAATTGTGTTATATAGCCCATGAAAATCAAGTTTGAAATACACATTATTAATGACACTTAGTCAAAACAAATGAAAATGAACAATAATTATGGATTGTATAACTCATGGAAATCACAAATTTTGAAATTTGAAGTACCATACATAATTGGCATCTGGTTCAAACATACGAAAATTGATAAAAATCATTGGTTATAGCTCATGAAAATCAAGAAATTTTGAGCTACGCTTACTTTATTTCCATTAGGTCAAAACTAATGAAAATTGATAAATTTGTGGGTTATATAACTCGTGAAAATCGTGAAGTTTGAAAAATACCCATAGTTAAGTGTTATTGAGTTGAAATGAAAAAAATGAATAAATATCTTGGTCATAGCCCTTGAAATTGCGAGTTTTGAAATACACGTACTTATTTTCTATTGCGAAAGGAACAAAATTGGACAAAATGTTTTTGTTTAGAACAATGGAAATCGCAAATTTTGGTTATAGCTCATGAAAATCAGGGAATTTTGAGTTGCACTTCATTTCTTTTGAGTCAGAATTATTTAAATGAACAAGAATCGTAAGTTATAATTCTGAAGGTTGGGGATTTTAAAGTTTGCAAACTAGATTACAATTGGGTCGAAATTAACAAAATTGATCGAAAACATGGGTTACTCCATGATTGTCGTGAATTTGAAGTATGCATCCTTAATTGTTCAAAAATTGATAAAAATATTGGGTCAAAGTACATATAATAAATTTGTGACTAAATTGCACTTAAAAACCATAAATTTTCCATGCTCTTGTCACTTACATATCTCAAGTTTTATTTTATGTCAAGAAAATTCCAGAAGTTAAAAATTTATCACAAGTGCCATTGATCATCTAAACACATAAATTTTCACCTAATTGTTTCTCTATAATACTTACATGTTAATTTTAGAGTTTTGTAACTTTTAATATTTGTCAAATTTGATATTAAATCAATGAAAAATCTTTTTCAAACTTATCTTAATTCTACTTTAAATTAGAGTAGGAATATGTCTAATGATAAATATAATAAATATTAATGGTTAGAAAGGTATAAAATTAACATGCTAGTGTCATATGGGAACATTTACGTGAAAATTTTTACCTTTGCATGATCGAGGTTATTGGCGTGCCAATATTTTAATAAGTGACCGAGCAAGAAAATTATGGTTTTAAATGCAATTTACCTTTAATTTGTCACTAGGCATAAATGAACAAAAATGGTCAAAAATATCGCTACACTTGAAGGACACAGACTAAATTTTCGTTGGGTTGAAATTTAAAAAAAGGACTAGAATGGTGAGCACATGTGAAAATTGTAAATTTTTATATATGCATATGTGACGCTCATGTTTTCACATATGGCTGCAGTCCAATGTGAACCCAGAGATGTCAAAACTGTCATCACAGTAATATCTCTTTAGTGAAATTAAATACAAGTGTAGGTACAAAACAGGCAAAATAAGGAAAATAAATGTAATAGACATGATGTAGAAAGAGATACCTAATAAACATAATCATGTCTCAACTGAATAAACTGAATAAACTGAATACAACTGAAGTCTGAAATAAATGTGAAGTATCTCAATATGAGTCAACTAAAAATAAACTAAGGCACACCATTTACAAGATAAAATACAAAACTCTAAATGTCTAGAGTTAAATATCAACTACGGTGGAGTCTCATCTACTAAAAATATGTGACGACGACTATGCTAGAAGTTCGTCATCCTGCGGCTCTTCGGAACTCTAAGCTGCTACCTGAAAGGAATTAAAAAAGAAAAAAGAAAAACAACAAGAACGTCAGAGCGCTACAGCAAGATTAATTCATCTGTCCCCAGGAGAAGAGCTACTAGATGTGATGGATGCTCTATCTATTAAGCATAGTCTGTCTAGATCATTTACCTTGTATCTAAATGGAATTAATATTTAGAAACCTACAACACGAGACGTAGTACGTCGAGCGAAATAATCCAAACAAGAAAATTCTCATGTATATACCATATGTGTCAAATTGTAGATAACTAAATATCAATACCAGACTAAGAATAAACAATCTAAATAGAATCAATAATTAGAAACTCACAACACGAGACTGATACGTCGAGCGAAATAATCCAAACAAAAAAACCCTCATGTATATACCATATGTCTCAAATTGTGAATCGCTGATCATTAATCCCAACTAAGAATAAAAGATAGCAATATAAGAAAGTAAAATCATCACGATATCGAACCAAAAATATCTTTAACTATCCTTTGGAAGATAATGTAAACAACTGCATATAATCCCGCGTACTTACAAAAGTAAAGTATATCAGTCATATATAACTTAGCGACGAGTCATGTTCATAAATGGCGTCCACCAAGCCTCAGGTTATCAGATAATTATCACAATGCAAATCCTTACGAACTTTATAACTCATCACATTATCATGCGGGACGGACTACCAAATCGACATCTTAAAAGTGTACACGACTCATTAGTCTCATCGCATCAACGTGCAAGACAGACTACCAAATCAGGCATCCAAGGTATATGGCTCACAAGCCTCATCGCATCATGTGCGGGACGGACTACTAAATCAAGCATCCTAAAACCCAACTTAATAGCCGGTACTAATGGTATATCGACACACTATCCCAAGTAGTACTGAGCGATGCTCATCAACGATATCCATACAAGTATATAATGTTTAAATAACTCATACCTCCTGTGAAATCAAAACAATAACTGTATTAATCCTCTTCGGGATACCCATGTGTGTGCTACGACACTATATATGTATACTCATGATTGTACGTGTATCATCGTGCGCCTCGAATTCCGCGTTCAAAAACAAAAGGTGTAAAAACAACAGTTCAAACAAAAGCGAATACAGGTCGGTCGACCGCGCCTAGGGCGTCGGGGCGTCGGTCGACCGCGCCTAGGGCGTCGATCGACCGTCCCTAGGGCGTCGGTCGACCGAACGCAAACGTGCACAAAGTGCACTCACAGGATCTTATCGGTTGACCGGCTAGCCTTGGTCTGTCAACCGGCCAGAGAAGATCTTCACAGATTAGGTTTTGTCATTTGTATTTTTGTAATTTTATTCAAAAACTTAATTTTATTAACATAAGGCATATAACAAGATTTAAACTTTCATATTTGCTTAACATGGATTAACTCAACATGATTTAAACTCTTAAATTAATTTAGTTAGGGATTAACATCTCAATTAACTAAAATTTCTCAAATAAAACATAAATATCAACATGATTAACTAAGCATGATTGGAACTAATCATTGAACAGATATAAAATAATTTAAATACGTTCACATCACTTAGGTATCAC